TTTTTGCGGAGGAATTATTTTTCGTTCGGCCGTGACGAACGAAAACGCGCAAAAATGCGTGTTTTGCGCGATTTTTTATGAATGCTTATAATGGCCTGAAACGTATGCAAAAAAAATTTAAGACGATTTTGAGCAATTTAAAATTTTACGCGCGCATTTTTGCGCGCGCCTACGCGTACGCGCATTTTTGCGCGCATTTTTTTACCTGAAATTGACCAGACGGATATTGATCTTAATCATGATAAATATGAATCAAAAATTACTTTCCGTTATGAAGATATGATCATAAGTTGATTTTTACAAAATGGCGCCTGGATGACGTCACGATGACTTTGAGTCTTTGAAAAGTCACGCAGTTCTAAGTTAGACTAAGATCTATTATCATTGAAAGATTCATAACAATGGCTTCATTCAGTCTTGAGATATCTTGCGAACAAATTCGAGGAAGAATAATAATAAATAAATAACAATCTTGACGAAATCAAAAGGTGATACGTTGACTTCGTTACGTATCACCTAATAATAATAAAGAAAAATCTTGACGAAATCAAAAGGTGATACGTTGACTTCGTTACGTATCACCTAACTAGACTTTAATTCGTCACTTAGACGAATTAGGTGATACGTATGCTCATGTGACGATATAAGAATGATGACCATGATTGAAAGTGGCACAGCGCCCCCTTCAGGTTTTCAATAGAGGATAAAACTGTTTACCTATACTAAACAAGCTCAAAACACTTCTTTTTGTCAATATTACAAAATGTACATGGTGATTTATTTAGTTCTGATTTAATATAAAACATGAGTAAGATATTAATATTTTACCCATCCATAACCCATCCATTTGCCCAAACAATGTTGCAATAACTAAGAAACGGTACTGTAAGTGTATTGTATAACATAAGAAAAACAGATTGAGGCAAAGTATGGCGGAGTTTGGTGATGACACCAGTATTCCTAGACCCTGTCGTATTAATATGAGATATGTGTTTTCCAGGATAAGTTTTCGTCAATAAGAATAGACAAGAACTTGGTATTGGCAACACGATTATCCAGTCATTACATAACAAATCCTTTTTGAAAACATTAAGAGATACATCATTAACAATACGAGTGTTATAAATAGGAAACTGTTTTTGTGTTATTTGAAATATTGGGAAATTACCAAATATATCATTGTAAAAGAAACCAAAAGAATCATACAGATCAAAATTATTTGTAAATATATTATCAATGAGGGATATTGATCTGTCAGTCTTTCTCGAAGGCTTATATCAATTAAAGGAATAATGTTTGTTTAATGTATTGCGCTCAAGAACTTACATACAGCATTGCCAGTAAATTTTACAAGATGAATGTTAAAATTTTCCCATTATATAAACCTGTTTATGTTCAGTATAAGTTTTTTGTAAAACATTTTCAAAGACAGGGATTAAATCATTGATATTTGATTGAGGTTTCCTATATATGAGACCTACATTAATATTCTTATGTCTCTGCAAGTTAATTTCAATAAACAGTGATTCATAATTGTATGATGGGTATAATATTAATATATAATTCGTATTTCATATTCAAAATTGTCAGCGACCAATAGACCAACACCTCCACCCTATCCTACTTGGCGATTAGAATGTATAAATGAATAACCAGACACATTGAATAAAAGTTGCGTAATGTCATTAATCCAAGATTCAGACAAATCTGTACATAAAGTACAGATGAAATTGGATATAGCATTACAATTTATGTTAAAACTGCGGGAATTAAAATGTAAAATACTAAAATGAGAGTCAATGTTACTGAATTCAGTCGTAAAATCCTCATCAATATAATATTAACAGTTCAGAAACATACTGAAATGAAACTCATCTTTTTTTTCGGATAAATAGTTTAAATCATTGATATCAGTATGAGTATCTGTAGTATTACTACCAAATTTTGAATGACGTTCGTCATTATTCAAGTCATGAAAAGGAAATGAAGAATGATTACAGAGTTGTAGAAAAATGCTCATGTTCCCTATAATGCTCATTGTAAGCATTTTAAGTCTAGAAAGTAAAAGGGTTTCCTTACATGAATTGAATACGAGGACACTGCTAACGTTTACATTTCACAAATAGGACATACGTGACATATTCATCATATAAACATTCAACTAAAAATTGTGACATGATCTCATCATCTGATCGAAAAACAAAAAGCACCGTTTTTATAGCCCATGGTCTCAGCTATAACATACCCCAATTTGGGAGAAAACAGAGCACACATAAGATAGATAGTGCTCATAGATGAATGCCATGTAGATTCATGATGTGAACGAAATTCACCTTCCATAGACATAACACGCAAATGACGAAAATTCTGACATGTGGCCTCTAATTGAATTTTGTACTATGATGACCTCATTAAAATGAAACTTAGTGAAAAGTGATCTTGTAGAGAATTGCCTTATCTACAACATATCGACATTTCAAAGAGAATCGATGAATATTGAGAGAAATACACTACATTTTCCATAAATACAATGACGTCATAATATGCAATTTTGTAATTTTGACTTCCAAGGCCATTATGATGACGTTAAGATGTACTTAATGGCCAAATGAGATATGAACTCATACCTCCGACTCATACTCTATCTAAATATGACAAAAAAATTGGCAATCCCTATTCATCCCAATGGACTTTTCATAGGCATGTTTTTGCCCATATATGCAATGTATTACAAAAATCGCGCGTACGGACGGTTATCTTGAACAGACGCTCATTCCGTTTTTAATAGTGATAAAGAGATAAACTTGGTATCAAATTGTTCGGAAAATTATGAGGAATATCCTGTCAAAAGTTTTTGCGGAGGAATTATTTTTCGTTCGGCCGTGACGAACGAAAACGCGCAAAAATGCGTGTTTTGCGCGATTTTTTATGAATGCTTATAATGGCCTGAAACGTATGCAAAAAAAATTTAAGACGATTTTGAGCAATTTAAAATTTTACGCGCGCATTTTTGCGCGCGCCTACGCGTACGCGCATTTTTGCGCGCATTTTTTTACCTGAAATTGACCAGACGGATATTGATCTTAATCATGATAAATATGAATCAAAAATTACTTTCCGTTATGAAGATATGATCATAAATTGATTTTAACAAAATGGCGCCTGGATGACGTCACGATGATTTTGAGTCTTTGAAAAGTCACGCAGTTCTAAGTTAGACTAAGATCTATCATCATTGAAAGTTTCATGACAATGGCTCGATTCAGTCCTGAGATATCCTGCGAACAAAATCGAGGAAGAATAATAAAATAAAAAATAAAAAAGAAAATCTTGACGAAATCAAAAGGTGATACGTTGACTTCGTTACGTATCACCTAACTAGACTTTAATTCGTCACTTAGACGAATTAGGTGATACGTATGATAATGGTTTACATAACGAATAATGCATTACACGATATATTATTTTGTAAAATGCTTCTCCCATTCATATGCTTCTCCCATTATGATCTATTCATATGTCAAGATTAAATTGTGTCTCCTTGATCATCATTGGTCTAGGGAAGATAGATTGAAACAATATATGACCTTTGACCCTGTGCAGTAACCAGTTACACATTTGACTCTAATTTACATCATGAAGAACACCTTTTGACGATTTTTATCTTATTCAAAGAAATGAAAATGTAATTGATAAATGATTATCATCATTATGATAATGATGATCATGATGATCATGATCATGATCATGAGCGCGATCATGACATCTTATTGAAAAAATGCGGGTTGATTTAGATAGCATATAGTCTCAGCTACAACATACTCAAAAATCAACAAAATCTAAGCCGAAATAACGGCGATATTGCTCGCAAAAGACAGGAATGTAGACTCCAGATTTTAGAAAAAGTCATCTCCCATAGGGATTATACGCAAAAAGAAGTGGATTAAGTGAAAATAGGGTAATAATAAAGTAAAAAGGGTTATTTATGACATTTTTTGCGAATCTACGTGTTTAAATAATCAAAGGAGATGGTACAGTGAAGGTCAAAAGGAAAAAAAAGTGAGAAAAAAAAGTCTTGGAGACACCCGGACTCGAACCAGGGATCTCGAGGTTGGAAGTCAAGTGCGTTACCGATATACCAAAACATCTCCTATAGCGATTACACGTAAACGGAAAATGGAATTCAGAAATCCTACTTTGCAAGTAAAATATGAGCATGATCCCGGCATATGATCGAAAAATGAAGTACACATTGGAGATAGCTCATTGTCTCAGCTACAACATATCCAAAACTCACTGAAAACAACGTTACAAAAACGGAGATGTTGCTCGCGAAAGACGGAAATGTAGAATGCAGTTTTGAGAAATAGTCATGTCCCATAGACAATACACGCAAAATGTGAAAAATTGACATGCCTCCTTTAATCGCAAAAATACGCCATGATACCTTTGTCAAACTGGACAATTATGTACACTACATTTGTAGAAAATTGTCTCAGCTAGAACATATCAAAATTTGGAAGAAAAAAAAATCAATATTTACAGAGATACAATCAATTTTCCAAAAATATGCATCCGTCATAATATGCAAATTTAAATTTCGAGTTTGGAGGCCATTATGATGACATTATGAGTTAATTGAGAGTCAAATGAGACATGAAATCATATTTCCATTTCATAATCTATCCACATATGAAAGAATATTGGGAGTTTCTATCTATTCTGAAGAGTTACAATGAATTTTGTATAGGCATTTTTTGGCCCATGTATTGTGGATAAAGATCACGCAAATCCGCGCGTGCTGTCAACTTTGACGGACGCTCATTGCGTTATTAAAAGGTGAACAAATTATCAAAATGCTTGGAAAAATGTACAAAATACGATGACGGAGAAAATACGGCGATTCTATGTTGCAAAATGCTGGTACGCGCAAAAAACGCGCGCGCATGCGCGTGAGCGCGATTTTTGGTCAAATGCTCTATATGGCCTGAAACCAAAGACGTTTAAATATAATTACTAGACGGAAAGCAGCACGCGCGGAAACCATTACACGAATGGGATTAGGCTCCGCCTCTTTTGGATCATTTGAAGACAAAATAAGCACCCGAGGCGGCTTTTTGATTGGATATGAGCCTCATGAATATGTATTTTATCGATAGTATCGTTTAAGAAACCGGATAATATATTTGACCTCATTGCGTCACTTTAATTATGCAGATTTATGCACGACGCTACTACACTCGCACAAACTGAGAAGATTTAGTTCATTGAGAATGGGTGAGTAATTGATTGAAATATGAGTAGATTAAGTGAATTTAGTCATCAATTTTGAAAAAGCTACAATATTCTTCGTGATCTACAGTAATTTCGTTTCATTTTGAGACAGTTCTCAACAGATTGTTTGGGAAAACACTAGGAAAATATTCCTCTTGAAATTGCAGTTTGATTTTTATCGTCATGAAATAGTTTGACTGCGGTTTGCCGTCATTTCACTCTAGTACTCCAGTTAGGGCCCCGGGGTTTCGGCAGGCCCACCCCGAGGAATTTCGGTGCTCATTTGCATCAAGATCAAACTTTCAAATCAAGTTTTATTTCAGATTTGATCGTCATCATGAATCTAATTCACCAATCATCGATTGAATTTAAATATAGATTTAACGTTACACCTTAAAATAATCTATGAAGCATGATTTTTGATAATCCAAGTGGATTAATTCTTGTTAAAATCTTTGACCTAGAGTCTAGACTAGATGTGGACCCTGATTGCTTACTTATCATCAGTGCCATCCGTTCGCTCATAGTAGTTGCATCATCGGTACGCGGTGCGTGTCAACTTTATTTAGGGTCTAGATCTAGGCCTAGAATAGGCCTAGACCTAGACTCTAGACCAAAATTATCTGTGACCATTGATAATCAAACAACTCCAAATCCTATTTCATTTAGATGTAAACCTGGAACTTATTAATAAAAATATTTAAAAAAAAACAACAACACTAGGCCTAGATCTCTAGGATTAGTTTATTTAATAGTGGGTCCAGTGTGCTTGTCAAGTAATTGTCTTTAGTTAGACTGAGAGGTCTGTAATATAGATCTAGGTTTTTAGACTAGAGTTGAGACGAATCTAGACCCCTATTAATTTTTAGAGATTTTTTTTCTTCTCCAAATTGTGCAGTTCATGTTGATAAATCTTTTTTTGTTTTATGTAAGAGAAAAACCCTAGACTAGATCTAGACCTAGTCCACAATTATGTTTACTTATGTAGTCCACCTCTTCTTCTTGTTTTAATAAACCAATTCTACTTGAAACTACTTTATATTCATATAGGCCTAGGCCTAAAGCACTTTTTGAGGCACAAATTAAATCTTCCATTTAGTTTTACTTTGTACTGTGGTCCATTAAATAGGAATGTTGATTTCCACACCATATTAAGCCAACCATGACATCAAAAATAGCTGTAGACTAGGGTCTAGTTTTATTGCTAGATCTATTTTATTTTGTTAAGGAGAAAGGGACGCCTAATTGATTGTCATATTGATTTTTTTTCTTCTTGTTCCAACAGATTGAAACTGAAGAAGAGCTGGAAGGAGTTAGCTGATGAGTAGACATTACAACATTTTTTATAGTTGCAAGATGACGCAGAAAGTCCCATCCAGGTAAAAAAAAAATCAGGATATTTAGCACACAAACATAAAACGACCACCTATTAATTCACTGAACACGAAATGTAACTAAGTTTATGTTGCAAGCGTATACAGGGGCAGGGGTGGGTCCAGGAATTTCTTGCTGGGAAGGGGGGGGGGGGCACACCGTGGGAAAGAGAACATATATATATATTTTTAAGTCCCCCCAAAAATCGCCTCAAAAAACGACTCAGCCAGCCGCTGAAGGGGGGGGGGGGGTTAAGAGGACACTTTTTTTTGGTTACAAAATATTTTAATTTGACATTTTGCTCCGTTGGGGGGGGGGTAAGGTCACCTTTTCAGGTAAGCCATTGGCATATTTTTTTATATTTTTTTAAATTTTTTTTTTTTTGTTCGGGGGGGGGGGGGGGCGTAATGCACATTCAAAGCACTACATGATCATACATGTAGGGTATACACAGGACCCCTCATTACTTTTTTGGAATTGCTTTCACTTCTTGAGCAATGAAGATCAAGAAGAACACAAAATAAGTTCAATGAAAGTCTGTTTATAGGATGTATTATGTTTGATATGTAGCCATTAATATCAATTTGTAATTGAAGTACCTACATTGTTTTCTCTCATGTAGGATGATGCTTCGCTACAGTGGATGATGAAGCCATGCTGGTCTACAAACTCAGGAGAGGAACAAAGAACAGATATTGACGGGATCATATCTAGAGATGCAGGCCTACTACACTTCATACGAGCAAGTGTGCTATTAAATATACATGTAGGTACCCCAATAAACTATTGTGGAACACATATCATGCAGAAAGTTATAGATCTGACAAAGATATTTTTCATTGTCCGTTGACTTGTAAAGAATACTTGCCTGAATATCATAATTGTGATTTAGATTAAAAATAAAATGTCAATATAGATGAAATATAAGTCTACATTACGTATGTTTCAGTAGCATTATTTCCAGCAGAGCACATTCTCTGGTCCAACTTGTTTGGTGAATTTATGTCCCATACTTAACCGAGTATTATTCAATTATGAGCATGAGTTTACAGTACAAGTACATTGTACATGTATTACTTATTTCATACCTTGCCTGATCCAAGCTCCAGCATGCCTATTGTCTTAATAGGATCATCTGAAATAATCTAAGATGTGGTCAGTATCTAGTCTTGTAGGAAATATAGTTTAGGTTTGCCCACTAGAACCCCAAGTGAATTTCGGTCCTTCCTCATTTTGTCAGAGCAGGTATCAGGGTGTATGTTATTAGTTATTGTTGATTTTCTTATAACACTGTATCCTATTTCATTTTCCTATTCAACAGACTTGGGTTATCATTACAGCCCTTTCTTCTGAAAACTAGGCTACAACTTTATTGATGGATGCAGAAAACATCTACATGGGACTACGTCTTAAAGATGCCACCCTCATATGAGGACAGTAGAGATGGGTTTAAACTTGAATATTTATGATGCTATTTATTTATTATTTGTATTATTTGTTTGTAGAATACCACATTTACAAAAAGCTAATGAATTTATCATCTTGTCAACTTTCACATAATTAAAGATGACTAATCATCAAGGAATAAACATTAACATTTTAACAATGTCAACTACCATTTTATAGCCGGATGAAACTTAGGGCTGGGCAGAAAGAAATTTCCTTGAAATTTGAGTGATAAAGATCTATCAGTCTATATCAAAGATTGAATTAATCAATGATATTTTAATTATAATTGTACATGTTGAAGTTCATTTACCTCAGTCTATGGACTTTTTCAAGTATTGTGTGTAAGAAGGTTTGAAAGACAACCCTCTAAATGCACTAAATATGGAAACTGCTAATCATCATTTTGCCTTTTGTATCCAAACTGCTAATTTTGATAGAATCATTTTTTGATACTTCCTAGTTTAAAAAAACAGGGGGGGGAGGGCTTGTTATCCTCTTCATGGTGCTGTTTCTACATGGACCATGTAACAGGTTGCAAAAGTGTAAACAATATTATATTTGTTATATGTTTATATTAAAAGGATTTAGAAAATGAAAAAGTTTTGAATTATAGAATTACTGTTGGTAGAAGTAATGGCAGTATTGATGTGTAAGGGAAGGGGGTAGTTTTCCAAGTGAAATTAACGGTATACCAATGTCAAATTAATAAAAAAAAAAGTGAAAAATATTCTTAAAAATAAAATTATAAAGGACATGGGCCTCCTAACTAACCAACCCTGGTACTGTACCACTTCTGGGTTTGTTTGTTTGTTGTTTTTTTTTTTTTGGGGGGGGGGGCAACCCAATTCAAAATTTCCAGTGTTAAATTCCATTGTCTTTAAACAAAAATCATGTCAAGATGTTGAAAAACAATGTTTCACTTTCCGTTTTCAAGTTAGAAAATTTGAATAAAATGATTAACATATTTTCCGATCTCTCTGGTCTCTACATTAAAAATGTTCAAAGCTCCTGCAAAGGCTGCAAAAAGGAAAAGTGAAGAATCCAAGTGAAATGTGGACAGTAATGGAGTGAATATGGAATGGTTGATCGTAGTTGATAACGAGTAAGTGTAAATGAGTGGTAATAACAACTACGACTGAAAGTGAGACAGAAAGGAACTGCAACAGGTTGTTCAGTCAAGACAACAAACCGTTAGTTGCAGAAGATAATTTACGAAAGACAAAAAGAGAGAGAAAGGGAATCATTAAGGTACGATGAGAGTGGGTGGAGAGAAACCATCCACTTTGCCACATAATTTGTTTGTCTAAAATAAGGAAACTTTATACATTAGCATATTTAAAATGTATAATCATAGCCAGAGAATGTGTTGTTATATGGCTTTAATATAGCATGTTTGATTTAATAAAACAAAAACAGACCCAGTTATTGATAGACTAAAAAGGAAATAGGACATTAAGAATATCAGTATTTCTTATTCAATGAAGTTAAGGCCACTCCCCCATATTAAAAAACAACAACAACACAACAACGAGAGGAACTTTTAAGATCCACTTCCAGATGCATCCTGGGTACACCAGCTGTTATACTTGTGATCGATAATACAAGTTCGAGCGCGTATTTCACCTTACGTGATCGCATCAGAATAGTCCACACTGATTCGCTGAATCACTTGCGTTGCTAGCGCGCAGCGTGATGAATAAATTACCCATAATTCCGTACAGTAGATTATTTGACCTCTCTAATTACGCTGATACGCGTATTGTCTTTTACCATGTAGTAAACATCATTCCAGTACACTTTTCGCGGGGATCATCCTACAGAATGCATAATTCATAAGGCTCATGAATTATGCAAGGGGGCTTATTTTGGCTTCTAATGGATCCGGACAAAATGGCGGAGCTTAGGGGGCCTGCCTGAAACGTATGCAAAAAAAATTTGGGATGATTTGGAGCATTTTAATTTTTTTAGCGCGCGTTAACGCGCGCACCTACGCGTACGCGCATTTTTACGCGCATATATTGACCTCAAATTGACCGGACGGATATTGACCTTGATCATGACAAATATGAATGAGAAATGGCTTTCCGTTATGAAGATATGATCATAAGTTGATTTTAACAAAATGGCGTCTAGATGACGTCACGATAATTTTGAGTCTTTGAAAAGTCACGCAGTTCTAAGTTAGACTAAGATCTATCATCATTGAAAGTTTCATGACAATGGCTTTATTCAGTCTTGAGATATCCTGCGAACAAAATCGAGGAAGAATAATAATAAATAATAAATAAATAAATAAATAAATAATAAAAATCTTGACGAAATCAAAAGGTGATACGTCTACGTACGTATCACCTAACTAGACTTTAATTCGTCACTTAGACGAATTAGGTGATACGTATGATAATGGTTTACATAACGAATAATGCATCAGAAGATATATTATTTTATAAAATGCTTCTCCCATTTATATGCTTCTCCCATTATGGTCTATCCATATGTCAAGATTAAATTGCGTCTCCTTGATCATCATGGATCTAGGGAAGATAGATTGAAACAATATATGACCTTTGACCCTGTGCAGTAACCAGTTACACATTTGACTCTAATTTACATCATGAAGAACACCTTTTGACGATTTTATCTTATTGAAAGAAATGAAAATGTAATTGATAAATGATTATCATCATTATGATAATGATGATCATGATGATAATGATCATGATTATGAGCGCGATCCTAAAATCTTATTGAAAAAATGAGGGTTGATTTAGATAGCATATAGTCTCAGCTACAACATAACCAAAAATCAACAAAATCCAAGCTAAAACAACGGAGATTTTGCTCGCGAAAGACAGGAGTGTGGAATCCAGTTTTGAGAAAAAGTCATGTCCCATAGAGAATACACGCAAAATGTGAAAAATTAACATGCCTCCTTTAATCGCAAAAATACACCATGATGCCTTTGTCTAAATGAAGAATTGTGGCAACTGCATTTGTAGAAAATTGTCTCAGCTAGAACATATTAAAATGTGGAAGAAAAACAATTAATATCTACTGAGATACAATCAATTTTTCCAAAAATATGCTGACGTCATAATATGCAAATTTAAATTTCGAGTTTTGAGGCCATTATTATGACGTCATGAGGTAATTAAGGGTCAAATGAGACATGAAATCATATCTCCAACTCATAATCGATCTAAATATGAAAGAATATTGGGAGTTCCTATCTATTCTGAAGAGTTACAATAAATTTTGTATAGGCATGTTTTTGCCCATGTATTGTGGATAAAGATAACGCAGGTCTGCGCGCGCTGTCAATTTTGACGGACGCCCATTGCGTTATTAAAAGATGAACAAGTTATCAAAATGCTTGGAAAAATGTGCCAAATATGATGGTAGAGAAAATACGGCGATTCTATGTTGCAAAATGCAAGTACGCGCAAAAAAACGCGCGCGCATGCGCGTGAGCGCGATTTTTAGTCAAATGCTCCATATGGCCTGAAACGTATGCAAAAAAAAATTAGGATGATTTAGAGCATTTTTAATTTTTGAGCGCGCGTAAACGCGCGGAAGAACGCGCACGCGCGCATTTGCGCATGTTTACTGATCTGAAATTGACCGGACGGATATTGAACTTAATCATGATAAATATGAATGAAAAATTCCTTTCCGTTATGAAGATATGATCATAAGTTGATTTTCACAAAATGACGCCTGGATGACGTCACGATGTCGTTGAGTCTATGAAAAGTCACGCAGTTCTAAGTTGGACTAAGATCTATCATCATGGCAAGTTTCATGATAATGGCTTTAGCCATTCTTGAGATATCCTGCGAACAAAATTGAGGAAGAATAATAATAATTTCTCCTATACAGACACAAAATAAATACTAGACTTTAATTCGTCACTTAGACGAATTAGGTGATACGTATGATAATGGTCTACATAACGAATAATGCATTAGACGATATATTATTTTGTAAAATGCTTCTCCCATTCATATGCTTCTCCCATTATGATCTTTTCATATGTCAAGATTAAATTGTGTCTCCTTGATCATCATGGATCTAGGGAAGATAGATTGAAACAATATATGACCTTTGACCCTTTGCAGTAACCAGTTACACATTTGACTCTAATTTACATCATGAAGAACACCTTTTGACGTTTTTATCTTATTCAAAGAAATGAAAATGTAATTGATAAATGATTATCATCATTATGATAATGATGATCATGATGATCATGATCATGATCATGAGCGCGATCATGACATCTTATTGAAAAAATGAGGGTTGATTTAGATAGCATATAGTCTCAGCTACAACATACTCAAAAATCAACAAAATCCAAGCCGAAATAACGGCGATATTGCTCGCAAAAGACAGGAATGTAGACTCCAGATTTTAGAAAAAAGTCATCTCCCATAGGGATTACACGCAAAAAGTAATGGATTAAGTGAAAATAGGGTAATAATAAAGTAAAAAGGGTTATTTATGACATTATTTGCGAATCTACGTGTTTAAAAAATCAAAAGCGATGGTACAGTGAAGGTCAAAAGGAAAAAAAAGTGAAAAAAAAAGTGTTGGAGACACCCGGACTCGAACCATGGATCTCGAGGATGGAAGTCAAGTGCGTTACCGATATACCAAAACATTTCCCATAGCGATTACAGGTAAACGGAAAAAGGAAATTCTCAAATCCCACTTTGCAAGTAAAATATGAGCATGATCCCGGCATCTGATCGAAAAATGAAAGGCACACGTGTGATAGATTATTGTCTCAGCTACAACATATCCGAAGCTCAGCAAAAATTAAGCTAAGACAACGGAGATTTTGCTCGTGAAAGACAGGAGTGTAGAATCCAGTTTTGAGAAAAAGTCATGTCCCATAGAGAATACACGCAAAATGTGAAAAATTGACATGCCTCCTTTAATTGCAAAAATACGCCATGATGCCTTTGTCAAAATGAAAAATTGTGAACACTTTTTTTGTAGAAAATTATTTCAGCTAAAACATATCAAATTTTGAAAGAAAATTAATCAATATTTACAGAGATACAATCAATTTTCCAAAATTATGCTAACGTCATAATATGCAAATTAAAATTTTGAGTTTGGAGGCCATTATGATGACGTCATGAGTTAATTGAGGGTCAAATGAGACATGAAATCATATTTCCGACTCATAATCTATCTAAATATGAAAAAATATTGGGAGTTTCTATCTATTCTGAAGAGTTACAAAGATTTTTGTATAGGCATGTTTTTGCTCATGTATTGTGGATAAAGATAACGCAGGTCCGCGCGCGCTGTCAACTTTGACGGACGCTCATTGCGTTATTAAAGGGTTAACAAGTTATCAAAATGCTTGTAAAAATTTTCCAAATATGATGATAGAGAAATTTCGGCGATTCTATGTTGCAAAATGCCAGTACGCGCGAAAACGCGCGCGCATGCGCGTGTGCGTAATTTTTTTATCAAATGCTCCATATGTCCCATAGAGAATACACGCAAAATGTGAAAAATTGACATGCCTCCTTTAATCGCAAAAGTACGCCTTGATGCCTTAGTCAAAATGAAAAATTGTGGCAACTATACTTGTAGCAAATTGTCTCAGCTAGAACATATCAAAATTTAAAAGAAAATTGATCAATATTTACAGAGATACAATTAATTTTCCAAAAATATGCTGACGTCATAATATGCAAATT